CCCATTTTTCACTTAATTTTTACAGCTTAATTCTCATCATTTTTGACATTTTAAATTTATTTCCCACACTTTAAGACATGTAGAAAATGATGGTAACAACCATTTTTCCCCAAAATGAAAACTATACCTTGAATGCCGCATTTGACACATTTTTTTTTTTTAATTAATTCATCACTTTTTCACTTAATTGTTTGCATACATGTGTGTACCTTATTTTCTATGCTTTTTTGAAATTTTAAAGTTGTTTCCTACATTTAAAAGTGTGTAAAATTTAATGGTAACATTCAATTCCCATAAAACTCAACGGTTCATTCTGGATACTGTAATTAGTCATATTTTTCAATTGATTTTTAAGAGCTTAATTTTCATTATTTTTTGACATTTTAAATTTGTTTCCTACACTTTCAAACATGTATAAAATTATGGCAACAATGAATTTTCATCAAAATGAAAACTATATCTTGAATAATGCCTTTGATGTGTTTCCTGAATTAATTCTTACACGCTCAATTATCCTTATTTTTTGGAATTTCAAGCTCATTTCCTACACTTTTAAAGGTTTCAGAATTGATGGCTGTATCCATTTTGCATTCAAATAAAATTTGTATATGGTACAAATTATGCAAGAAACAGGGTACACTCATCTATTAAGATTGAAGCTTGTATTTTGAGTGAAATTGGACTTCACCATTCAATTCTAAACATTTGTAAATGTAGGAAATAAATTTAAAATAAAAAAAAATGCTTAAAATCAGGCCGGTAAAAATCAATCAAAAAAACATTAAAAAAAGCCTGTCCACTGCAGTATTCAGTAACAAGCGCTGATTTTTATGTAAAATGGTTGTTACCATCATTTTTATCATGTATTAAAGTGTGGGAAACAAATTTAAAATGTCAAAAAATAATGAAAATTAAGCTCTTAAAAATCAATTGAAAAATATGACTAATTACAGTATCCAGAATGAACCGTTGAGTTTTATGGCAATTGAATGTTACCATTAAATTTTACACACTTTTAAATGTAGGAAACAACTTTAAAATTTCAAAAAAGCATAGAAAATAAGGTACACACATGTATGCAAACAATTAAGTGAAAAAGTGATGAATTAATTAAAAAAAACGTGTCAAATGCGGCATTCAAGGTATAGTTTTCATTTTGGGTAAAAATGGTTGTTACCATCATTTTACTCATGTCTTAAAGTGTGGGAAATAAATTTAAAATGTCAAAAAATAATGAAAATTAAGCTGTAGAAATTTAAGTGAAAAAAATGTCAAATTTCAGTATTAAAAATGAACCGTTGAGTTTTAAAAAATTTGGCTTACACCATCAAATTCTACACGTATTGAAACCTAGGAAATAAATTCAAAATTTCAAAAAAGCATAAAAAATAAGGTACAAACATGTAAGCACACAATTAATAGAAAAAATGAGTGGAAAAAAAAAATTAATAATTAAAACTCATTTTTATGGAAAATGGACTTCACCATTAAATTCTACGCATTTTTTAACCTAGGAAACAATTTTAAAAACTTGAAAAAAATTAAAATTAATGGCAAAAATAAATTAATTAAAAATGCGGGTTTAAACGCGGAATGCGCGTGTGCTGTGCCGCAGCAAAAGCGCGTCAAAACGCGGAAAATGCGGGTTTTTTTATTAAGGCCCAAAAATAAAAATGTTTTTTTCCAAAAGCTTTGTTATTGATTTTGGGGGAGTGAGAGTGCTGAGAGAAGGAAAGAGTGGAACATGATAAGAATGATTAAAAATGAAAAAAAAAAAAAATTGGAACCAAAAAAGGTTGAGTCAGGTTGGTTGTCCAGATTGGGGTCAAAACAGTAAATTCTAGTGCTTTACTGCAATGTGAGCTGGTGAATGCCCCACTCAACAACTGGTTAAAATTATCTGGTAACCACTTTTTCTAAGATTTTCATTTATAATCATTCTTCCCATTTCCCATTCTTTTGTTCTCTCTGCACTCACACTTTGTTTTTGTTTTTGTTTTTATTTTTTCATATTCATTTTTTGTGACTTATTCTGCACCACTTGACCAAGTCTCATGACTTCAACCTGGTGCTTTGAAGCTCTGGGATACAAAACAAGCAGCCAAAAATAATGGTCCACCCACTGTACGTAGTTATGTATGTACACGGCGGGGCAAGTTTGAACTTCTGGATACCGCTCGCAGGACGGTTTACCTTTGGAGCGCTCTTCTGACCATAAAGAACGCCACAATGACGATGTGGGACTTAAGCGCTTGCGTAACGCTAATCGGTGCGACCCGGTGACTCTTGGGTCCCGAGGGCGGCAAGTTGACGCTTGCAAAGTCGTTCCCGCGTCGACTGCGTCTCGGGGACGCTCTACAACGATCATGATTTTTTCTTCCCAAAAATGTGTGTAGAGGGTAGTGTGACCTTGGAACGCCTGGTTGAGCAACTTTCTCTAGAAAAAAAAAAAAAAAAAAAAAAAAAACTTTGCAAAAAAAAGTTGCGACAAAATGACTAGCGCAAACGACTGGATTGAATGATTAGTGTAATCCGGGAGGGTTAATAACACCACGGACAATTGCATGTCGCTCCCGCGCGGAGCGACATCTGGGGGTTTCATTGGGGGTTTCGTGCGCAGTCACTGCGCCTACTGCCGCAGTCACGCACGCGGATTCGTCAAGGTGACGGTTACATCCGCGGCGACACGCAAATGACCGTGGTGTAATAATGACTGGTTTTCGAGCGGTGGATTGCTTACGCATGAGTTCTCGTTTGCTCATGGGGTGTGCTCCGGCTGCCAGGTTCCGGTGCAAGTTCGAGCCTTGAGCAGCCAGCTATTTTTTTTGCTCGGCCGACCACGCTGCGCCTGCTTGAGGGGTGAGGCGAGTGTGCCGGTGACTCACCACTGCGACCTGGAAGGACGCCCTTGCAGCGCCGACTCAGCGATCCTTGCAGCGCCGACTCAACGATCCCCTGATGCCGCAGGGTCGATCAGCGGAGCGATCCTGCAAAACTGCGCCCTCACAGCGCCCCTCCCTTGCTCAGTCACCGGAGCGTCCAGGACTACGCCCTAAGGGGTCCTGTTGACGCTCTCCTCGCCCGGCCGTGTATGTATTGGATAACCTTTCCTTGCATCTCATGTCAGACCAGAATTTGAAAGACTTTTTTTTTTGGGGGGGGGGGGGGGGGAGGGGGGCCAGTAAAAGATCTGAGCTTGAAGTTGTGAGCAGAAGTTATCTGCAGAAGTTATCTACATCCTGTGTACAGTGTAGTGCATTCAAAGAAGTGTTAATCTAATATTTGGAAAGGAGAAGAATGATTTGGATTTGAAGATCAGCATCAACAATTAGCACATCTTGTGTTTGGGGGGTCTGTGTCACGCGCATACATGCGGGCTGCTACATCTATGACACTGCTGTGACAAGTCATCTCTTGACCATCATCTGACTTGATCACTTCGTGCAAAATTTGTTGAAACAAGAAACAAGTCATCAGGAAACAAGTCACCAAGAATCAAGTCAACAAGAATTAAGTCAACAAGAATCAAGTCAACAAGAATCAAGTCAACGGTCAAGAAGAAGAGCAAGAAGAAACAATGACAGTCATCCCATACTCACTCTCACTCTCAGAACAACTTCAAGACTCATTCTCACAACTTTGGTCAGCACTCAGACAGGAATTCGAAAGATTTAAGCCAACCAATTCAAACGAGGATAACACTCGGTTATTACTCGAGAGACTCAGAGCAATCAAGAACTATCTCGTCGGAAGTAAAGCCCGCAAATCATTCACTACAACCGATCCATCTATCTCCAAAGAATTAAACCTGTCAGTTCTTTTCTCTATCTAGACAAGAAAAAGAGATAGAGAGAGAGAGATAGAGGGTACCATTTTATTGATCTGACGTGATTTCTGATTTCTGTAGATTGGCTTCAGTTTTAGAATGGGACTGTTTGGATTCGAGTATCATCAAACTGAAGATTGAAGCTGCTGCAATCGTGGGGCTTTTATCAATCCGTGAGTCTCTTGATCGAGTCTGTAGGTTTAATGGAGCCACCAGAGACTGATTCTCATCATTATTCAACAGCGGAAGACCAGACAGTTCACGTGCTGCTCGAAGCTCGTTTACCCCTGGTGATTATCGATTCGATCACCCGTCTGTTGACAGAGATACCAATCCATTCACTCCTAACCTCTCAGGGTCCGCCCACACTGGGTGAACAACATCTCCTTCAGACCTTACTTCGCACTCTCTCTTCACTTTACAGCATCATTCTGGATGTCTCTACTCCCAGGAAATGGGGATTCATGACCAAGTCACCAGAACGGGTCCATCTGCCCCACTCTCGACGATCGATCGGCAAAAACAACTATCCTACATCCCCCTTTGACCGCCAAGATGTGAAACTTGACTTGAAGGGTAAATCCAAAGCTCCGACGGATTTTGAAGAGAACATGCATCTCAAATCTTCGAGAGTCGAAGTCGACGAGCCAACGACGTTCGATTTTTGGCCGACCTCAAAGCCGAACAAGTTGAAAGAATCATGTGAAGAAGCAAAGGCGATGTTGTCAAAGTACATCGCCCACGGTAATATCCTGATCCCCTTCGTCCTGACCATCAGTCAACGCTCTCTACCCGACGGCTCGCTCATCAATCTATCCTCGGTCTCGATCGCCGCCCTCGTCGTTCCCTGTTTGCAGCTGATCTGGCTGTTATGTAAGGATACCCGCCGACAGATCTGGCTGGCCAGGAAGCTCATAGAAGCAGAAGACCCCCAAGGGCATGAAGACAGCTGTCTGAAAGCGTTGGCGAACTGCTTGAAGGCTTGGTTATATTCCAATCACGATCTGGCTACTGAATACGCCATCCGGACCATTGGTGCCTTATTGTCTATCCATGAACCCCCACATTATTCGGAAGATTACGAGCTCCTCGAATATCTCGATCAGCTCGTTTGGACTCAATCTACCCCTTCATCAGTTCCCTCCTGTTATACAACCACCGACAACCCCAATGTCTCGCCTTTGCAGGACTGCGGCATTGGTTGGATTTTAACCTGTAGGTCTCAGACAGGTAGTCCCACCCTACGGGCGGCTTTGGCTACTAGGTTAGCAACCGGGCCGTTTTCAGCTGTCTGTCCTCAAGAACGCATCCGGGTTGTTCTTTTCTATCTTGTCCAAGAAACAAACTGATCACTTTGTTTATCTTGGTCTTTTTAGCATCGTTAGTTTGGTTAAGCACTTTCCTGACATTCGACTGAGGATACTGCTCTTGCAAATCCATCATACGATTGAACTCATCGACAATGCTTCATATTCAATTGCCGTCAGGTCCGAAGCTGCTTATGCTCTTGGTCAGTAAACTAACAACCCATTGATCAAGAGAAAAACGACAATTAATTGGTTTCTCTTTGACTTAATCATCCAGCCCATACTCTTACTATCTCAGAAAGCCTGCATTACGAGGCATACGATGCTAACGCAATCCCCGTCTTAAAAAAGCTGATCGACAAAGCTTCCGTCGATCCTGTCCCATACCCCACACCTGCATTTGTCACTCACAGTGCGATGTTAAGAGAAGTTGAGTGCTAACTTTTCTTTTTCTCAAATTTCGCTAGTAATTGGTTTATTTATAGTAATTCTAACTTGAACTTGTTTACAAAACAAAATGATCTTTTAGAGCGCATATCTTGCATTAGCCTCATTAATGTCTACCTTGGATGCGCCCAGGAAACAAGTGATTGCGATGAGTCTGTTACCGGGCATTGTTGAATCGCTAGCGGACCCATCGATCCTAGTGCGATCGGCAGCGTGCCAATGTTGCCGGGCTTTATCGCGAGCAATCAGTATAGTTCGGACTAAACTGGCCGATGAAGGTGCGGGCTCTCGTCTGTTCGATCTAGCTTTTGGACTTGAAAACCGCAGGGATCATTCCTCCGCCGTCGGAGACCTCGATGATGATGATGACGATCTGGATGAGGATGCGGTGGAAATACAGTTGAAAATTGTCGCGATGGGTGCACTCTGTAACCTCGTGCTCGAATTCTCGCCCATGAAAAGTGTCAGTCTAATCGAATGCTGGCACTCCCGCCTTCCTTCCCTACAATCATGAGATTCAAGAAACGAAATCACACTGAATCCCGTTATTTCTGTCATCTCTTTTGTTGGTAAATAGGAAGTGTTAAATCGCCATGGGATCGAGAAATTCATCAAGTTATTGAAGTTCTCCAAGTATCAATCTTTGAGAGAATCAGCCCTCTGGGGGTTAAAGAATGTAATCTTCTCTTCAAGTTATCAGCTCAAATTGAGAGTGATAATGTGTTTGGGATGGGATGAAATTTTCAAGTTGAGCCTTTCTCTTGTTCTCTTGTCTGTTTGAGTGTTGTTGTCATTGATGCGGGATCTGAACGCTTTGAATACAGGTGTTTGAATGATAAGAATTTGTCTATCCAAGAAAACATGATCTCGTTTTTACGAAACCTAGCGTGTGGAGAAATATCAGATATTGAGATCATATTCAAACAGTTAACAAACACCAACATAGAGAACACACATCCTTCGTTGATCGAGCTCCTGGAAGAAAAGCTATTATTTTCGTTTTCGACGTCATCAGGACCTACGAACACTAGCACTACTGCTACCGGTGCCACTCTCATGGATAGTCGACAGATCTCTACGAGTCTAATCAATGATTCCTCGAAGGAACAGGTCCTAATCCAGACCATCTACACATTCTCCAATATCGCCACGGGCAATCTCGCCCACAAGACGTGCATCTTGGAGAGGCCTAGGGTCATGAAAGCGGTTCTTGAGGCTTTGGTAGGCTGTTTCCTTCTTGCCATCGCTACCCAGTCTCCATCCTCATTCAGCTAATATTCATTTTGCTTTCCTCTGTAAATTTTCGCCATAAAGTCACATCCTAATCCTGATGTACAAGTTGCTGCTATCTGGTGTATAATCAATTTGACTCACTTCGACGAGGACACGAAACCAAAAGGTAAAATTCCACTTTCAAAAAAGCAGGAAGAAAAACCCCCTTTGCTTATTTTATATTTTTTCTAACAAACGACATCCTGTCTCACAAATGTAGTGATGATGAACACGATTCACATCATCGAAGAGCTAGGAATCCCGACGAAACTGCAAACGATTCTGCGAGACTTCAAGAGTGTTGAAGACGGTGGCGGCGATCACAAGAGCAGCAACAGTAACTTCAGGAATTCTGAACATGATTCGGGAGCGGAGGGGGTCTCGTATGGACATGTGTCCTACCAGCATCACCAGGACTCGGCGGCAAGGAGCTTCCAGGTCAAGGACCGTGCCGAGTGCGCGCTGATTCAGATCATGCGGGCGAAGGATAGCTTGCACTGTTGATACACATACACTCTTAATGGACATCATCATTCCCAAGTATATAACATCATCCTTGTTGTCCCTGTTGTATGTATGTTGTCATGTATTAAGCCTGTGTTGTGGATCGAACTTGTTAAGGTACATGTATTGCATCTGCTCTTTGGTACTTATGTCTCTGTCTTCGCCGCTTTTTATCGTTTGTTTGATATGATCATCAATTGATCTACATCTATCCAGAAGCCTTCATGTCGCTTTATGTAACGACATAAAAATACGACTTTGCTATTTTCGCATGCCAAAAAATTCTTCTGATTGTTGTCCAGTTGAAGTTTTCTGTTGTTCTTGTTTTCCTACAATGTCTTTCTAGTATTTACATTTTTTTTTTCCGAGTGTCTGACTTGAGTTGTAACTTTCGTCAATGACTTTTGCACAAGAAGCGCCGCAAGAAGCCCGATTGATGGGGGCGGGCACATATGGGACAAACTAGATTGGGTCTGGATAGCTTGTTGCTGTTGGTTGTTCTGCAATTATGCATGGCTTGAGTCCGCCGCTCGGTCGACGAATCCTCTGGGACACGGGAGCTCTTTACCCCTTTGTTGCCTTGCACACTATGTCCAATTTCTTATGTAGGATCCCCGAGGCCCAGTGATTTAGCTAGCGTTATCAGGCCATATAATGGTTTGGGATTAATCCACTTACTTGCCTAACTTGGCAGTCCCACTTCATTCTATCTTCATTCCTGCTTTGTTCTTGTTAAATGGCGTCATGAAAAATAGCAGTGTGGCTCATATGCTCGCCGAATTCTCCGGAAATGGGGCTCTATGCTCTGCTCTACATTCAACGGATTCAAGTCCGTTTGAGTGTCTGCAAAGATGTCAGCTTGTGTGTCGGCGTCGTGCTACTATTGACTCTTGTCGGGCCGCGAAAGGCAAGACAATAAAACAGTCTTCCGGATCCGTCTCAATGCGAAGCAGCATGAGGGCCAACGCGCTTCCCAAGATCTCTGAATACTCAAGGACACGCCGATGATCGATTTTGGAAGTCCAAAAGGACGCGAAAGTATAGTGAAGTGTTTCGAGTGGTAACGAGCATAAAACCTGGCTGAGTTCTCTGCAAGTGCCATGCAGAAATTAAACCAGTGGCGATTTGAGATGTGGTGCCTGAGTGTCGGTCGGGAGTCCCCTTGTCTTCAACTGAGCGACTGAGAGCTCGGCACACACATAATATGGATTGCATCGACGGAATAGTGAGCTCTTTGCTATTGGAGGCTCCAACAAAAGGACTCGAGTGCTAGTACAAAAGCCATCTCCTCGTGTGTAGCTGGCCATATCCCCATCAGCTATTTCCTCACAAACAATTCGTTTATTCTTCAACCATCGTCACACATCTTTGCTCCCCAAAATCGTACTACCCTCTTCTTTCATATCGCAAGCAACTCAGTCAATTCACCCTGGAACCCGAAGAACAGCTATTGCGCTTCAGCCGCAAGCAGAAACCATGCCCAAGGTCATAGAGGTTCCCAAGTCGGATGTTGACTTCAAGGACAAGCAACTGGAAGCACAAGACAATCCAAACTTTACGCTCGAGATCCAGAAGGAGCTAGGTCATGGAGACAATTCCGACATCTATCAAGTCGTCACCCCCGGGCTTCCCTCCGCTCCAAGTGCTTTGAAAGTCATCTCCAAAACCTCCTCCAAGAACACTCCCTCCCCGATCAAGGTCACCGGCATCAGGGAACAAGTCAAGCAATGGAAAGCATTGAGTCACCCTCATGTTCTGGATCTCAAGGCGGCGTTCGAGAAAGAATCTGAGATTTTCCTTATGACTGAGTTGTGTGAATATGGCGTAAGTTTTCTTATAAAACTCATCAATTTCATTATGTGTTGGAGACTGATTGACCAACAATCCATTCCTTGGCACCGTTAGTCCGTCAAAGCATTTACCGATAAATCGAACAACTTATCCCATGAACCGGTGGCGCGAATCCTCTTTCTGCAACTCCTTTCGGCGGTCCACTACTTGCATTCCCAGCAAATTTACCATCACGATCTGTTCCCCCAAAACGCGCTCCTCGCGGCTAGCCCAGACAAGAAGCAGATCCTTCTCAAGCTGGCTAATTTCGGTCGGGCTGAGAGGGCCATCGCAGTCGATGAAAGCTCTTCCTCAGACGAAGAGAGTACCTCGCATCTCATTCAAGTTGATCTTAGACAACTTCCTATGATCCTGTAAGTGAACAAAAACCAAACTTATCTTGTGCACCCGATTCCACTTCTTGCCAATTAATCCTGACTCTTGAACCTTGACTTTCATCCTCAAAAAATATATCCAGCCACTGCCTTGTTGGAGACAAAGAGCATGTCTGGCCAGTCGGAAGCACCCGCTCTCGTCCCTTATCGGGCTTGCTCGACAGACTCCAGAAACAACTCAAATCTCGCATATCATTGATGCAGATCCCCGACTATATCAACCAAGAATGGTTCCGCTCTTCCGCCCCTTTCCCCGACGGTCTCCCAGTCGCGGCTCTCACCAAAAATATTGACTTTAGCAATATCGACGAGCAAATTTCTGACGCCAACAGAACCAATCTTCTCACCCACCTCGGGCTCATTGATCTTGTCAAAAAATGATCGGCCTTCTTTATCATGGGGGCGGATTTTCGGCCGAGCAGCCCCACTATATAGTATTGGTTTCTGTTCTACCAGCTTGAAAGAAAAAGTGGATGCTTGTCACCATATAAATTCACATGTACTGTAGACAAAAAAATTTAGATTTTCTTGCCGATGTATGCACCAATCTTTTGTAACGGTAATGATGCAATCCATCCACGCTTCTTGAAATTGAAAGTACGTTTTTTGCCCGAAGAATCAACACCTCTGCCGTATGGAGCTGTGGTCTGCGAGTGATGGGATTCGTCTTCATAACCTACCCACGATTCGAACAACCCCCGAGTCTTGAAAGCTGTCAGCTTGTAAACGCTTGTGCCAAAATGAGGTCAATGGACTGTTTGAGTGATCCTATTTTATATCTGGTCTGGGGTATGTCTGTGCCCAACTTTGGCACTAGGAGAGCACACTTCCACCGATCAAACTGCCCCATTCTCCGGAATAAAAGGAAAAGAGATTGAAGTGGATTATGAGTTTGATCCCCGCACTTAATTGCATTTGTTGGCATTGGAATCTTCTTTTATAACTACCTGTTACGAATTCCTCTTTACGATTTTAAAAGGCCAAATCTTTCAGCACTGCCCATCCGAATTGTCCCATCAAGATTATTATTTTGATGGCTCCAATGCCTCTTGCTTCTCAGAGCCAGCTTTCACCTCCTCTCCATCGCCCCCACTCAAGCATTACGCGACAGCCTGATTTATCCAACTGCTCTTAATAATAGAGGATCCTTCATACATAGGACTGGTCTAGAGACGCGAAATTCAAGAAGACGTTATAGTTCCAATAATAAGATATTCCACATCCAACCTGAAACCTGTCTGGATCTCAATCAATAATTCTAAACAGTATGCAGCGGATGTACTTCTCATGATAAGTGAGACGCGTTTCATGAGCCATGTGCGAAGTTATCTTCTGTGTGAAGCGAGGTGAAGCCAGGTTCGGCGTTTGCTAATGTACATAAATACCGGGGCTACATACTTCAAGTCGATTGGTTTGAAACGTCTTGATGGATATGCAAGAATCCTGAAATATGACATCAAGAACTGATCATGAGCAACCTGTATCCATCTGATCTGCCCGACCGTCGGTTCGGTTTGCCCACGTGGGCATAGAAATGTTTTGTTAAGGGTCATCGTTGAATTTGTGCCATGCAGAACGTTTGTCGAAGGCGATGAAGAAGGTTGATATATCATCAACCGTATCCGGCCTACACCGCCAGTCGATACGCTAGGTGAAGCCAGCAGAAGGCAGCATGAAGGTCCTCAAGCGATTCTCCTCCCCCGTCGCCCATTATTATTTAGGTCTTAGTATTATCTCAATATTTTTGTCGGCTAGGAGTAGCGCCTTACTAGGTGCGGAGCCCAGAAGGTCGCCACGCTCAAGCTCACTCGCATTGGCCCGAAGATCAATTAACGAAACCGAGTCACCCCATGCCACTACGCAAACTCAGGCCCATCCAATCCTTCTGACGAGTTCACCCGACAGCAGGGACGCCTGTCAGCCCAGAACGCTGTCTCCATCCTTGTGGTCCCGATTGAATTTGGACGAGTATCTACTCCAGTACCCCGGGGGGCAGGAAACAAGTCTCGAGGTAGCACTTCTGTGATGCTTTCAACTTCATTTTTTACCTCATCTTTTTGATATTGCTTGTCTGTTTTATTGTATCTTTTTGGTTGGACTCAGGAGTTGGCAGTCAAATCGAGACTATTAAATTTTGATTGTGGAATTAACAAATTATGTTATGCTGGTCAGGTCAGTTCAAGGTATATTCACATCACCCTTGAAGTAATATGAAATAACATGTCCATTTCAGTTATGTTCGCCAGTTCACGGGAAAGACTGGTATATCTTGGTCGCCGCGCAAGAGTGGAACTCATACATGAACGTGGTATATCAAGCCGTTGGCTTTGCTATGACAATGATGCAAGGTAACGCAAAGCATACCTTCAGATTTTTTTCAAATCTTTCAAAGCTTCCTCCGAGCCGACAAGATTAGCTCATCAGCCTTGTATACCCAAAACAATCTGGTATATAACTCAAAGGAATCATTCCATCAATGGTCAGTAGTTTTATTACCCTTTTTTCGTCTAGGTCCGTACTGGTCAATTGAAGACATGTAATGTTCGATGGATGACTAAGTGGCATGCGATGGATTCTTTTTTTTCTTTCTTAAATTGCAGATAAAAGATCTCTTCCCGGACAAGCATGACGACTGGGCCATTGCGAAAGCTTATTTGACATTTTTCTCGAGCTGTGCCAAAGTTCATCCAACAGAAGGACATCTATCCAGCACCAAATGGTGGATGCAACTGGTCCAAGGACAGATCGGATTGGCAGCTGGGGAAGCCAACATTATGGATTACGCCGTCATCCCGGATCCAGTTAACCAGCATGATAAAGTAAAGCCCCGTGCTTCTAAACTACCCTCAAATACCAAGTTCCAGCTCATTCGGAGGTTTCTCTTTTTTTGAATTTAGTGGACTTATTTCATTTACGAACTTTCGAAAACTCAAGACTTGATTCAAAGTAAACTGACCCAAAACTCGGAAGAAATCATCAGCTCTGGAATCAGCACCGAGCAGGGAATCTACGGTGTTCTCAAAGATGGGGGATTCCTGATCGATCATGTCCACTGCCAAAGCCTTGTTAATCTAGCAGCAAGTCAACAGAGCGAAATGAAACTATCAATCCAATTGAACCTCTTGGCTGCCATTTGGGAAAAACAAGTGAGTTCAATGAAAGCTTACTCGGTACCGGCTTGCAAAATGCCTCTGTCCTCTCTGTCCTAAGAATTCAAGTATTGATGTCCACTCGCATTGTCGTGTTGACGTGAAAACATTAGAAATATTTTATTCTTCGCGGAAGTGTAAGCATTTATATCCCCAAGGCTTCGGAGCTAAAAGAACTTACTTGGATTTACTGCGGAATCAGGACCCCTGTGATGGAGATGGAGAGAATGGTGCTTCCTCAGGAAAGAATCAATTGTCTTACTGCAATCCGGACAACATGTGAGAGAGAAGTCATCCGATTCTGACAGTCCTTTTTTGTGGTATATACATCAAGTGATTCAGCGGGCTGAATGTATGTTTTCTTCTTCTCTTTTGTGTATTCTTTTTTCTTTTCGCCAGCATGATGAAAATCGTTCAACTGAAGACACGAAACAAGATCACCAGTGAAATTCACAACGGACATTTAGTGTTGGAAAACTATAACTTTACGGCCCAGTTTCTGACCGAAAGAGCATGGAGATGTCAATCGAATACTAAGCAGTTTGAGCCTGAGGTGTGGAATTCGTCAGTCGTCTTTCTTTCTTTCTTACTTTTTTTATTTTCGGTAGGCTTCAGTTGGGAGAACATCCTCTTTTCAGATAAATAGATCTAAAACTGTTTTGTTTGCAAAAAAAAAAAAAAATGGATTGTAACTCAATAATCTGTGTCGACAAATAGTTCAAAGCCAATCAAAATCGACTCGGAGTGTAGTTTCAACCTGGCAGTATGTGATCTCACTTCACCAGGTAAGACAACCACTTGTTCGATGCAGTAACAAAACCCTGTTTTTTTTTGTTTTATTATCAAAAACAAAAACAACAATCTAATTCTTATGCTTTCTGTGTATCTGCTCTATTGAATTTGACACAGAAACCAGGGAATTGAGGAAGAAAGGGAAAAGCATTGCAGAGATTTGTAGGAATCACTTGGGCTTACCAATATAAAACCAGCTGCATCAATGACCAGACTAACAGATCTCCACAATCAAGCAAATTCCATATCATCTTCCAATTTTTAATTATAAAGTTTATCATGACATTGACCCACAAGTAATTGACTGTACATTTTTCTTTTTCTTTTTTCTTTTTTTGAAAAAAAAAAAGACAAAAAATCAAACAGCTCAGAGTAGGATATATGTATGTTTTTAAATCAGAACAAACAAAAATGAAGAGGACATGTGAAATTTAATGCAAGCAAAAAAAAAAAAAAAAAAAAAAAAACAGACTGGCATTTTTTTTTGTAGCCAATGAGAAGCAGAGTTGAATTAGTTTGTGATATATAGGGTCTGCCAGTACTGCATATGTGTGCAGGGCACATAAAAATCCAAGATGAGAATCAGACAAGCTCCAATTCTTTTCATATCATTGGGTTTGAAAGAGCAACCAATGACAAGTTTCAACAGCCACTACTCTAGTGTTTGGCCTGGAGAGAGAGACTCAGACTTGTGTGTGGAAGATGTCAGGCTTGTTTCATGAGCTGCTCCTGTGCATGTCCACCTGAGCAGCTCACCAACACGTATCATCATTGGAAGACCCAGGAGACCCCCTATAGAGGTGCCTAACCAAAACGTCAAAATGTATACAACCACTTTGACTGAACATCAGATGTGATATCTGGATAAGTGCCACATCAGCACATGTGCATACTGAAGGTGAATCTTTCCCATAAACTTTTTAGTGGTAAATCTTCACCAGTGAGCCTTGAGAAGCAAAAAACTAAAAAAAACTAAAAAAAAAAAAAATCTGAAAAATTCCTACTTTTTTTTTTTTTTAGTTTTTCAGTTATTAAAACCCACTTGTTGATGTTAGCCACTAAAGAACACATGTACATGATGCACATTGAGGATGTTCATGTCCTGAGGTGGCAACTATCCAGATATCACATCTGATGTTCAGTCAAATTGGTTGTGTAGGGTGAAAATCCATTCCTACATTTTGGTTAGGCACCTCTATAGGGGGTCTCCTGGGTCCTATCATTGGGCCCCCAAGACAGCCTGGAATGTGTATGTAACAATACTCGCTCGCTCAATTGGTGCTTTCGTATGCTCCCTCATCTGTTCTTGGCTGGATCACATCATCCTACTCACTTCTACACCTCAAATATGTACTTCTCATCATGTTTGTTACTTTGGTGTTGTAAGTTTTCCTTCTTTAACTCTTCTTTGATTGATCAATTGATTTTTTTTTTTTTTTTTTTTTCAAACCTACACATTGAAGAAAAGAAAACCAAACCAAATAAACTTTGAATATATATATATATATATATATGTAACCATTAAAAACCAAAGACTTGGATTGATTGATTGATTGATCAAAATCAAAAAAAGGAGGAGGTTGATGGACAGAGAAGCAAAGGATGGCAAGAAACAGATCAGCGCAGGATGGAGAAGAGACGCAACAAGTAATAAAAAAAAAAAGTAGGCAAGGTTTTTAATTTTTTTTTATAAATGTGTCATTGATCAATCAATCAAAAAAAAGGGGAGGGAGAAGAAGAGAAGTAAAGATAAAAGACAAAAAACATAGATGGACATAGATAGATAGATAGAGAGGATGGAGATAAGGATAGATGGAGATAAAGATGGATAGATGGATAGAGACACTAAGAAAAAAAACAAAAGAGAGGAAATGAGAAGAGTGGTTGATCTAAAGAGACCTCTCTACCAAAACACCCACTCAAAAAACCACCAAACATTCCACAGGAACCCAACTAATTCTCTACTGTTTATCTAAAGGGGGACCAACTCATAAAAAGGGGGGTGGTTTTTTTCGGGAGTCTTTTTTTTGGTGGGGGGGGGGGGGGGGGAGGCAGGAGAAGGAACAACACACAAAAGAGATGGAGTCAACAAAACCAAAGACACAAAAGAAGAGAGAAAGAAAGAGATTTGAGGAAAGAAAGAAAAAAGAGATGAGAGTTGGGGGTCCTATTTTTTCTTTTTAACGGTCAGTGAATTCAAGCCAAAAGAAGTAGGATGAGGAGTAGTAGGAGTGACCGGCGTATTATTGATAGTAGTATTAGTGTTAGTAGTAGTTGAAGAGGAGGAGGCGGAGGAGGCCGTAGAATTATGGAGCGGATTCAATGCCTGAGAATTTGAATTTGAATTTGAATTAGAAGGGAGAAGCACTGATGAAGCCCGAGCAGCAGAGTCACGATGGTTTTGGTTTGGGTGGGATTGAGATGGAAAGTTTTGAAGATTAGATTTCTCAGAATGATTAAGATAATGATGAGAAAGATGATGATTGGAATGATGAGAAGTAGAAGTAGTAGAAGAAGAGGAAGAAAGGATTGAGCCAGTCAAGGAGTGTCGGTTCTTATTACTCTTATTATTCGTCTTCTTAGTTCCACAGAGCCCAGAATTCGTTCGAGTGGTATTCCGTTTAGAAGTAGTAGAAGTTTGACTAGTTGGATTGATAGATGAAGAAGAAGAAGAAGGAGCTGGACTGAGTTTCTTATTGCCAGAGGGAGCAGTTGAGCCTCGTCGAGATTTACGCAAGTCATCATTATTTGTCGTCGTCGTCGTAGTAGTAGTAGTGGCGGTGGAGGTGCGATTGGTACGGATAGAGCTGATGGAGTTCCGTTTAGTCTTGGGAAGGTCGTCCTTGAGAGTTTTCTGGATCAGATGAGGGGAGCCGATGAATTGAGCGGATTGATGGTGTTGTTGATTAGGACTACTAAGGTTCATGTTAATCGACCGACGCTTATGAGCTTGGTTTAGCTGTCCTCCTCCTCCTCCTCCTGGCCTCTTCTCCGCCGTTGTCTCTGATCCTTCGCTCGTCACTGATTGGCTGGGTACCTCCAAACTACTACTCGTCGATACCTCCGATTGCTTCTCCTCCTCAAATATCTTCGTCGCATTCAATACAAAGTGTCGGACGATCGCTGAGGCTTTTCCAATATTTTGCATCGATAGTAGTGGGTTCGAATGTTCGGATCCGTTTCGAAATAGACTAGGTGCAAACACAATCGCCTTCATCCACAGAAATCAATTTTTGACCTTTTCCTTGTAAAAAAAAAGCAGTGAAGTACTTACCACATTATGTGCTAGCATACTATTTGCTTCGGCATGTTCTACCACCCTGTAAAAACGACCACAATCATAGTCATTACGACAATTCTAAGACCATAAAAGAGAAGAGTTACTTACCGTTCGAAATGCTTGACGAGTTTGAGCAACAAGATTTTACTACAGAAAATGACGACACAAATCACCCAACAGCATGAGCAAAATATCAACACGAAAAAATACCAAAAAAAATGAAGAAGAGGACTGACTTGGGCAGCGGTAGATCATTAACATGAGATTGAAGTTTAGAAGTCCGTTCGGAATCGTCGGCTATGCCTAATAGAACCAACCGATTCTTAGTTTCAACATAGTTTTCCTTCAGATATTTTGTGGGATAAAAGGATGATATATGTGTAATTACCATTGACGGCCAAGAACCGATCGTAACGATCAAATGGGATCACGCCGCCCGGAATCTCGCGCAAGAAGAGCTTCAAGGCCCCCGATAAATTGTGCACATCTCGGTACGAATCTCGCCAGATGTCTACCCCTCGAACACCTAGAATTTTTTTAAAAAAAATCCACTTGATATTAAAAAAAGATAATAGAGTAAAGGGGGATTGATCAAATGAGAGAAGTTTTCTTATTTACCTCGTTCATCAATCGAAGCTTGCAGATTTTCGATCACTCGTTTCTCGCCCGGGACTCGATAGATACCTTGCTGATCAAGCCCTATTCTCCCCATCCATCCAAAAACCCACCAAAAAAAAGGAAAATAAGAATCGGCGCTCAATGTTGTTTGGTGATAAGTTTCTCAAGAGAAAAAAGAGACTGAACCTTTTTGTTCGATCAGCTCTACGAGTACATCGACCAAAAGGGGGAACGAGTCGCCGTCTCTCCAATAAAGGTCTTCGATAGGCACACCATACACTGTCCAAAGCCAATAAAAAACCCCGAAGTCAATCCAATATCGAAGAGGAAGAAAAAAAAAACACAGTAGAAGGGCATGTATACCGGTACGCATTCCTTTAGGATTAGACAGACGGGGGGGTTGCCGATCGTCGGTAGCAGACGAGGAGGAAGACGGGGGCGGATTGATAGCGGCCAAGGAGCCGGCGATTTCACCGATCTGGTCGAGTCCATTGTGGAGTCCCGAAGGGTCTTTGCGGTCGGCTCCATCTGCCGAGACCGGAGAATCTCCCGCTCCCGCTGCGCATGTCGAAGTTGTTGAGACGCCTCCCGGACGGTGCTCTATCAGCTCCTCTGATCTTCTCGGTTGGATCCGTTGCTTCGGTAGCAGCCCAAACTGCGACAGGTCGTCCGCCGATTGCGCTTTCTTGGCAGAGCCATTCTGCATACATACATCGTCATCCAACATATTCCCGTCATCGTCATCGGCGTTAGATGGACATGTTTATCCAGATAAAATTGAGCACGTGACGTGTGTTTAAAAGAAGAAAGAATGATTGTCAGCTCAATAGTTTTCTTTGAATGAACTAGATGAAGGAATGATACTAAAAGAGAGAGATAGAGACGCGTAAGTTGAAGTTGAAGGAGAAGACTGACGGCATAAACTCTAGAGGAATGATCGGTGGCCTTGATTTTGGGATTTTTAGATTTCTGATTGAGGATGAGATTGGGTGCGATATTGATGTTGATGATAGGAGGGGATGCGGGGGAGAGATTGGAGGGAGGGCTAGGATGGGAGGGAGTTGGGAGGGGTTCGTTGGTATGATGGGAGGTGAGTGGGTGAGGGGAGGATTTGAGGTTAGTAGCATTAGCGCTCTTGCGGCGGATCCCGCCGAGGAATGGGAACGGTCTGAGTGACGAGCTCGTCGGTCTTGGTTCTGAGTGGATCGGCGAGGAGGGTGAGGTCTGTTGTTGTTGTTGTTGTTGCTGTTGTTGGGTGTTGATGTTGGAAAGTGAGCTGGTTGAGGAGGAGGCGTCCAATGAAGGGTTGTGTTTGTGATGTTGTCGGTGGAGAAGCTGCTGCTGTTGTTGAAGCTGTTGAAAGTTGGTCGAGCAGGCTGATGAGGGTGGTAGTGGGAGTGGTGGGAGTGGTGGTTGTTGGTGATGATCATCCTGTTTGTTGATGCCCAGCATCGCTCTGAAGGAGAACATGATTTTTTTGGGTTTTTTTGTTGGTTGGTTGGGAGTGAGTTGGAAGTGAGTGAGTTTGAAAGGAGTGTGGATGAAGAAGTGCGAAAGGGATGGAGGGAATGAGGATGCAGGGGTTTTTTTAGGAGTGAGTGAGTATGTATGTAATGTGATGTAGAAGTTGGTGGTAGATTGTGTGTTGATTAGGTAAGTAGACAGACCTTAGACCTCCGTAGGATTTCCTCCTGATCTTTCTTGAGAGCATTGGTAAGTTTTCGTGAGCCTGTCCATTGTTGCTGTTGTTGTTGAGGCTGATGGGTAGGGAGTGGTCTTCGTTTGTAGTAGTTGGATGGTCGATTGAGTCGGTTGATTGGATGAGTTGAGGGTGGTTGATGTTGAGTTGTTGTTGTTGTTGATAGTTGGTTGATGAGGTGGATGGAGATGGAGATGGAGTGTTGTTGTTGTTGTTGTTGTTATTGTTTTGTTGTTGTTGTTGTTGTTCTTCTGGTTGTTCTAGTGGAGTTGGTTCAGTTGTTGTTGTTTGAGTGTTTCGTTTTGTTGTTGGGAATCTGAACTTGAGCATGATGGTAGTTGGTTGGTTTGAGTTGGTTGTTGGTTTTTGTGGTTTTGGTTGTTTTGATGTGTTCGGAGTTCTCTTGACTCTTTAACTCGACTTACGTAAGTAAACCCCCCGAAGGATTACTCGAAACCTCACAAGGAAAAGGAACAATGTTGCCCAGAATAGATCACTTCAATCCTCATGTGCAAGAATCAAACTTGCAATCAACCCCCAGTGGAATCAAACCACTCACAATCACATTCACATCATCAAGAACATACTTCTGTGTACACCACTGGAATCACCCTCACAGGACCAAAGTCACCCCAACAGTACCATTAGCACTGCAGTGTAGCATAGTCCGCTAACATTCAGTCTAGCACAGCAGAGTTCTTAATTCACATTCTCATTGGCACCACAAAAAAAACAGGGCTTAGTTATACAACTCCCAACAACCATCAACAGAGGTCTGTCTGTTGGGAGTGGTTAATCCTCCCAATGGATGGTATAAATCCATTGATCGGTTAGATTCCAACAGAGATTTGGTCATCCAGGACCAAATCTCCAAGATTGGGGCACCACATTTTCATCATATCATTCAGAAGCATATGATGAAATTTTCCAAGGGCTTTCTGGAAAGTCTTGGTTGTGATGGGACATGAGGGATTTGGATGGTGCGATTTGAATGTGTCCTTTTAGTCCTTCTTTGGGCGGTCTGCATACAAAACCATCAAAAAATGAGCAAACCTTAAGCCTTGTAAGGGTTTCCTCCTACCAATTATGAGCCAACATCTTGTTTGGAAAAAAGTAGGTGTGCTTGCTTAGAGGAGGGATCATCTAAAATTGAGTGCTTTGTCTGGCATGATTGTCAATGTTAGTTGAGCATCTTCTGTCAAATGGGTCCCCCTGATTGCTGGAGGAATACATAGCAGCTAGAAACAACTCGTGAGTATCTTCCCAAATCAAACATGAGCCTGGAACAACCAGGAAATTGATCAGTGGGAAGCGGGATAAATCGAAAAACAATGGTTCCATTCCATAATATGGAATGGCTGTGGTAATTGTTTTTTTTTCAACTTTCATGTCACTGATATGTTGCTAGTTGTGTAGTGGAGGGCTTCCTGTTGGTTTTTTTTATGGCCCTACCAAACCAGGCCCCTTGAATCAGGTTTCCCTGCATGATCTGACTTGAAGTCCTATGGACCTGGGGTGGTACCCCCATTGTGGAGGGATTCTTCTCCTCATCCTTACACAAACTTATACACCTGATCAGTCAATCCAACATGGTGTACATCACTCTCAAACTATTTATGATGATGATCATTGAAATTAAACTCTTCGTGATCAGGGCTCCTTAATGGAATACATATTAAGATTATCAAGATTGCTTGATTTCCTCCCTTCAAACTCTTTTCTTTCTTTTTGCAGCTCGAGGTGAGATTGATGATTAAGATTGTATTATGTATGAAGTTGATCAAATGATTGGTGATGATATGTAAGGTCAATCATGACAAGATGAGACTCTGAGAGGATGGGATAATAAACTGGGGAAGGATGTGGGTTCAATCTTGTGGTTGTAGATCAAGCCCTGGGGATTATGTTTATGTATGCTATAATTTGGTTGACTCTTGTTCATTTTGTTCATGGAGGTCTTTCTTTGGAAATCTTTAAATTAGTTTGAGGTTGAATTTTGTATGATCTTATGAGAAGGCTGACGTAATCTTCTGGGCACTTTTTGAAGGGCCGAGCTGGGTAGCAGCCGCCGGCCGATCGAACAGCAACATCCCACCACCAAAAAACAAGATGAACAACAACCGAGCACACCTACTCTCACTCAAAGTACTCAGATCATCACCACCCACACTCAACACCACCACCAACCAACCCACCCAGACTGAGATCGCAGACACACTCAGCCTGCCCAACTCATTCGGAACGATCTACCAGGGGGAAGCATTCAACGGCCTCCTCAGCCTCAGACCAGAACAGCCCAGATCCAACCTAATAGCCGCCCTCAACCCAAAACTGATCGTCGAACTGCAATCCTCGCAATCTCTGCATAAGAGCCTCATCGGATCCATACATGCTCACCAACTTGGTCCGGCTTCAGAACACGAGGCTCTCGAACTACTCATCAATCATCAGATCACCCAACTAGGTTTGTACTGTAGCATCTAATAATTCGTCATCATCTCATCTCAAAACTCTCGACTAATTTCCCTCATCTTATCCCAAGGCTTACATTCCTTGATCTGCACGGTCACCTATCAAGAACCACCACCAACTGAACCTACAGAAGAAGAAGAAGATCAAGAACTTACACCAGCCGAGTCTCACCAAATCACTCCAGAATCAGAACCGCAAACCAGAAGCTTCAGGAAACGTGAGCAATTTCCCAATATCTTCTGGAGGAGTAAACGATATCTGAAATCTCTAGTCGATCTTCGATTCATTTAGTATACAAATTCCAAGTACTCAATCCCTTAGGAATCAAGACCAAGACATACAGATCTCCATCATCATCATCAGTGTTAGAGGAGACTCGTGTGCTCGAATCTCTCAAGAAAGTGCTCGCTGAAATCGAGGCGCATGATCATCATCATTACGACGACACAGCCTTATCATCACTATTCGACGGGCAAGATCGACTGGGAAACGATGGAAGCTCCTCGAATGAAACATGTTACATGGAAATCCAAATCCAAAACCAATCCTCCAAGCCGCTCCTCAATCTCACCCTGAACCTCTTGCCTCAAGACCAAAACCCAGATGATCAAAAAGAAGAAGAAGGAGAATCAACCACAAGGAAGATAGAGCAGATCCAATTAAAACAGCGCCCCACACGAACACCAACAGGAGCGGAGAGTGACGAGCAGATCATGCCTGGAGATATCCGCCAATATGCATTCAAAGTGTCTGCCAATGGAAGAAGGGGAAAGCAAGAGTATCTAAGACAGTATGAGCTAGAGATAAGCTGGACGAGTTTGATGGGCGAGCGGGGGCGGGTGAGACGGCGGATCGAAGCCGACGAGCCGACGACGACGACGACGCCGATGCCGACGAGACCGACGACGACGACGACGATGACGATGGGGATCGAGAGCTCGGGCTGTCCGACGGTCGTTGCGCAGAGCCGGTTCTTCAAGGCCGAGCTGCTCCGGGACGCCCGGCCGATCGTCGCCGGCGTGCCCTTCCAAGTCGAACTCCGAATCTCATCTTCCTCTAACCATCCCCAGATTGGCCCCGGCTCAGGAACGCAGTACAGCCGCTTGCAGGCCATCCTCGCTTCCCCGCTCCTCATGGGCTCCCTCCGCATCCA